CCCTGAGGCGCATGGGGTTTGATTCGTCTTTCGGCGTGGACCACCTTTCAGGTAAATCCGTCGCCCCCATGATAGTGTTGGACTTGCAGACCGAACAAGGTCAAAAGCACTTGTGGGAGGTTCTCAGCGAGCCTTTGTGCATCTTGCACCTCCATGCGGGACCAGCAGTAGGGCTCGTCTTCGTCAGTGGAAGGGGGCCCCGCCAATTTTGCGGACTGACAAATCCCCTGATGGGGTCCCAAACCTCAGTCCTGGGTTGCAAATCCGCGTGGAGAAAGCTAATCTTCTTTATAAGCTATGCACCGTCATATGCCGCTTTTGCCATTCGCAGGGGATCCTGTATTCCTGCGAGAATCCTTTTAATTCGTTCATGTGGAAAACAAAGCACTTCCGCCTCTTCCTCAAAGAAGTGCCACATTTCCAAACCGCTTTGCACCATTGCATGTTTGGCAGCCGCAGGCAGAAGAAAACGCTTCTTGTGCACAATTCCGTTGGCCTCCTGAGCTTGGCTGTTTTGTGCGACGGCCAACATGACCATGACAAATGGGGGATGGTGGAAAACAAGTTTGCCACTTCCCTCGAAACTGCTTATCCTTGGCGTTTATGTCAGGCCATTGCAGATGCCATCCAGCAACAGCTTCAATCAGCAGGCGTAGTGTTCCCACCTCTGCAGTTGAAAGACCTTGACAATGTGATCCAGGCTTCCAGAGCTTTTGCGGGAGTCCAAACACGTCGCAAGTTGCCTCCTCTGGTACCTGAGTTCCGCCTTTGTGTCACCGTGGCAGGGGTGATTCCTCAGCCCCCAGCCGGTTTCATGCCAGGGCAAAAGACTGAAGTTGACTTCCATGTGCCAAGCAATTGCTCAACTCAGCCGCCAACTAATTTCATTCCAGCCGGCTCTAAGATCCTCCGAGCTCCATTTGTGCAGGGGGAGTCCGTGAGCTCAGGATGTTTGGGAGCCCAAGGTCCTTTCGAGACCCATAACCACCCACAAGGCCATGCTCCACCTTGTGTGTCACCCCAACCCCTAGGAGGTTTAGGTCCTGGTTTAGACCCCCAGGGGATTCCTGCTCCTGGCGTCTTTTCTGCCGGCTGCCTTCCCAAACCTTTAGGGGTTCTAGGTTCTGGTTTATTCCCCCCAAAGGGGTTACCCGTGAATCACCCGCTGAACGAGTGGGTGTCCGCTCCAGTGGATGGCACAGGTCACGGGGAAGCAGTGGTGGAAGCTCTCTCCCCAGCCCCTTCCTTAGGTTCTGGTTCAGTTTGTGGTTTAGACCTTCCCAAAAAAGTGCTCAATTGTAGTTCTCGCATGCGCACGGACATACCCAAACCGCCGGAATCGGGACCTTTGGTTGAACGTGTTGCCCATGATATGCTGGAGCAGGAGCTACCCATATCAACATCTCAGGTTCGAGAACTGGCGGACTTAGCACCGGATTCAGACGTGCAGAGGGGAGGCAGGGTGGATCCTGACTGCAAGGTGGAAGGCTCCAAGTGCTTTATTGCAGGCGCGTATGTCTTCAGCGGAATGGCTGGAGTCAGGACCACGTCTTTTGAGTACCCCTGCCTAACTGCCGCCCTGGCCAAGTATGTGAGGCAAATTGACCCTTCCCACGCCTTTACATCAGTGGCTATCTTCAGAGATCTGCAAGCTTCCCCGCATGCCGATGTCTTCAATGAAAAAGGCTCCTGGAACCTGATTACCCCGATCTCTACTTTCTCTGGTGGAGAGTTGTGGGTAGCCAAAGACGGGGGTGACCATGTCATGACAGTGAAGGGCAAGGAAGTAGCAGGCTCGTCGTTGCCGGTGTCGGAGGGCACCCAGCGGTTCAAGCCTCAGGAGATGCATGCAACAATGCCTTGGACTGGCCAAAGAGACGTGATTGTTGGATTCACGCCCGGCATGAGACATAAACTTTCGAAGGCTGATGTTAAATACTTGGCGTGCCTCGGATTTCCGGTGGGTCGTCATCGCAGGAGCAAGCTGCCACCAAAGCTTCGCTGTCACCCCGGTTAGACAAGGGCAAAGTCACATTTGGGGTGTACCATACCCCCAGTGAATTTCTTGAAGCAGCCAGAGCCGTGCATCACCCTTCCCATCTGGAGGTGCTGGTCCCCGAGGAGCTGCGCAAGGCGGTACGCCGCAATGTGACCACGGCCCCTGATTCCTTGGCAAGAGACCGGACTGAGACTATTCGCAAGTGGATTGCATGGAGCAATGAGCTGCAGCCGAAGGAAGATCAGTTGAAGTCCGCCATGTCTCCACACAGGGCAAAGATCTTGGCTGGTAAAAGGCTGTGTCTCTTCAGGCGGATCCTAGAGGAATCTGGTCACCAAGACCACCAGCTGGTGCCGGATATCAGCGCCGGTTTCAGCCTGACCGGCCGGCTGCCCAGGTCGGAGGTTTTCAAGGATCGCTACCGCCCAGCATCGCAGACAGTGGACATGCTGCGTGAAGGTGCATCTAGGGCCAGGGCCGCTACCTTGGCCATGTGCGTGCAGGCAGACGATCCATGGATTGATGAAGGGGTAGAAGAAGCGACCCTTAAGGAAGTGGCGGACGGCGTCGTGGAAGGGCCAATAAGGTTGGAGGACCTGCGGATGCCACCCTGACCAGGCGGTTTGGGGTGATTCAAGGGGAAGCCAACGGCAAGCCCAAAGTCCGTCCCATTGATGATTACAAGGCCTCCCAAGTCAATGCCTGTGTGACCCAAACAGAACAGGTCACGATCCATAGCATGGACGTTGTCGCTGGCACGATTGCCTATTGGCTAAGGTGCTCTCAGGAGTGCAAGTGCAGTTCCGATATCCTGGCCAAGTGTTGGGATCTGAAATCAGCATACAAGCAGCTCCCCCTCACTGACACATCCCTTGAGCTGGACAGCTACTTTGTTATTTTCAGTCCAACTGCAAAAGAGCCCCGCATTTTTCGCCAGCTTGTGTTGCCCTTCGGGTCGGTCGCAAGTGTGACAGGGTTCATTAGGGCCGCGTTAGGATTGTGGGTTATCGCCTTAGTGCACCTCACTTTGGTGTGGACAATGTACTTCGACGATTTCTTGCATCTCTCGAGCCGGGTCCTTTGCAGGCACTCTGACATGATCATCTCGATGTTTTTCCAGCTTCTCGGCTGGCGTGTGTCCAAGGACAAACTTCTTGATTACTCCTCGTGCTGCAAGGCCTTAGGGATTCTGATCGATTTGAAGCAGGCCTCCTTTGGGAAAGTATTTTTCACAAACACGGATAGCCGGCGGTCGGAACTGCTGGATGCGCTTGAGAAGGTTCTTGAGACCGGGACCCTCAAGCCGAAGGATTGTGAAAGACTAAAAGGTCGGCTTCAATTCGCCTCCGGACAACTGTTCGGGCGAAAGGCTAGGTCCTGCCTGAAAACTTTGGGGCTTCATTCGAGCAAGGCTTCTCATGAGATCAGTGCAGCCACGAGGAATGCCTGTGAACACCTCAGAGACCTCTTCCTTGAAGCGGCCCCGCGCGAGGTTAGGGGATCCTTGGGAGATGTTTTTCATTGCTTCGTAGATGCCTCTTTTGAACCAAATGAAGGCTTTAGTGGGATAGGGGGCTGCCTCTATTCCAGCACTGGAAAGGCAGTGGCATGGTTTGGGTGCGAGGTGGACCATGACTCCGTGAAGCTCATTCTTGAATCTGGCGAAGCTGAACGCAGCGCTGCGATATACGAGCTTGAGTGCGTCGCGGTAGCAGTGGCCTTGGAGGTCTTTGGATCCTACTTGGCTCACAAAAATGTGGTTCTTTTTACTGACAATCAGGGAGTTCAGGGAACGCTGATCAGGTGCTGGTCGGAGAACAGGATTGGGAACGGCCTTGCTCGGTTGATATGTTGCAGAGAGGAGAAGTTGCAATCCTTCCTGTGGCTGGAGCGAGTCCCATCATCCAGTAACCCCTCGGATGCACCGTCCAGAGGTTGTGAGCCTGCAGGTGCATTCAAGGAAAGGTCCGAGGTACCGCCGGGCATGGTGCCTGGGTTGTTACGCGAAGCCCTCCGTCTTGATGCCCTTTAGCTGGGGGTAAGGCGGTGGCATCCTGACATCGTGATTCCCCACAGCGTGAAAAGTGCGTGTTGCAACTCTGTGTTCACTCAAATTTTGGATATTTGTATATC